ATAGGCCGCTGCTAAAGATTTTTGGTCCAACAAGTGAAGTTCCGGTGATGGCTGCTGGCCGAATTGAAAGATGGGCGCTTCTTCTCAACCAATATGATTATGAAATTGAGTATATCAAGTCCGAGGAAAATGTTCTTGCGGACGCATTGTCAAGATTGCCCTGTAAAGATGAATTGCAACAAGATGTTGAACAAAAGCTTTATAATGTCAGTGTAATTGAGGAAGATTTCCCGCTGACTGCGAAAGAAATTGAAAATGCCACGTTGAAAGATGAAGTACTGACCACAGTCCTTAAATATGTAAAGGAGGGCTGGCCAGAAAAGTCAGTCTGTAACATAATGAGTGAAGAAAATTCCCTAAAACCTTACATATCTAAACAGCTTGAGCTATCTTGCATTGGAAATTGCTTGCTTTGGGGTCAGAGAGTTATAATTCCCACAAATTTGCGAGAAAGAATGCTTAAAGAGTTACATTGGGAACACCCAGGTATCTGTCAAATGAAAGCCATAGCAAGATCCTATGTGTGGTGGCCCAAACTTGATGTTGATATTGAAATGATTGTTAAAAATTGTCAAACATGTCAAAGTGTAAGAAGCACTCCACCCACAACACCCTTAATTCCGTGGAAATGGCCAGCAAGACCATTTCAAAGAGTGCATGTCGACTATTGTGAAAAGGATGGTAATAATTTTCTTGTCTTAATAGATAGTCATAGTAAGTGGTTAGAAGTGGTGCATATGAAAAGTACCACAAGTAGTAGAACAATCGAGGAATTGAAAGTCATATATTCACGATATGGTTTGCCTGAAGAAGTGGTGTCTGACAACGGCCCACAATTTGTTAGTGCAGAATTTGAATCCTTTTGTGATAAAAATAAGATAAAACATACATGTAGCCCAGTATACCATGCTGCCACTAATGGAGCAGCTGAACGAGCTGTAAGAGTAGTAAAAGAGGCTTTGACTAAGCAAGTACTTGATGGTAACTCCAAGCTATCAATGAAGCATAGATTGGCTAATTTCTTATTGAAGTATAGGACTACTCCGCATAGTACCACTGGACTTACTCCAGCAGAGTTGCGTAAGCTCAGAACAAGACTATCATTAGTTAGTCCAAATATTGCACAGTATGTTGAAGAAAAACAGGCACAACAGAAATTGTACAAAGATCCTAAAATTAATTCGGAAGGCAATTTCAATTAAATCAAAGCGTAAGAGTCAAAAATATGAGATCAACATGCAAAGAGGATA